GTTATATAATGAATAAAGCAATTTCCTTATTTGTATGTTATTGTGCTCTCAATGAAGGGCTCTGCCCTGGGCCTCCACTTGACGGAGATTAATGAGCCGCCTGTGGGCTGGAATTTGGCCATATCTAACCCATCCAGCTAGAGAGATGGTGCTGTGCCCAATAAATGACTGGAGAATTCTGAGTTAAAAACAAGTGCGTGGCGCATCCCAGCAGAATCGGACAGTATTCACTCTGACATCCAAGCCTGTACATCTGTCTAGTTACTCACCTGACATCTCCTATACATTGATACTTCGCCTTGAGCTGATTCAATTGCCTCTCAAATTCCTCGCCCATTTCTTGGCTGTGTTCCAAAAGTTTTTCTTCCCGAATCACTCGCATCACACCCAAAACCTGCTGCACACGCCACTGGATTTCCTCCATACTAAAATATCACTCTATATTGAAATGTAGCCAGCTACATCTACAGTAATCGATAGCTTACCGTGTTAAAGTAGCCGACTTTTCCTCCCAACGCATCGGCGATTTTCCTCGTTGTCGCTACAGCGGACACTGGGAAACCGTTACCCATTGGTTTACCCATGGTCACGATGTCGGGGCAGAAACCTGAATATTTGAAGCTCACTAGCTGATGGATACATTGATTTGTTAACACGGTGAAGCCTACCATCATCGAATAGTTGGTGGGCCCAGAACTTCGATCCGACCCTGCCGAATCCGGTCTGAACTTCGTCGATGACCACGAGACCACCGTGATTTCGCACATGTCTTGAAAAATAGATGATTAAGGCTTATGGATGGATTGATCAATTTATTGATCCTTCGATTACCTTGCCACTTCGGTGAAATAGCCGGGTGGTGGAATAACCTGACCACCACAGGACTGGAGAGCTTCGGCAAAGTAGGCGGCCACAGTTCGCCCATTGGACTCGGCCTAAATCGAGTTGTGTGCCATTTATTAACACAATGCCGCGGATTCCATGTTGCCCTTCATTTTGGATCAAATTTCCTACCCCTCATATCATGCGGGCCTAGTCAAGCTTACCAGGGTGGGTGATCCATCTATCGAAGTGGTTGAGCCCGTTGATGGATAAATCAACTTTTTTGGCTCTATTGAAAAGGGAGATTACCACCAAAAAAGCCTGATCTAGCCGCTGACAGACCCAGTAGCCGATATGGGCACCCTTCTCTAGCTCGGCTCTTGATATAAAGGATTGTAGGACCCTATACTTCCAGTAATGCCTAGAAAGCTGAATACTAACCTTCTCGATCAGGTTGTTAACGGCGTCTGAGTAATGGATTCCGGCTTTTTCAAGCTTTTCTGGATTGTTCAGCTCGTCATCTGCCAGCCGATACTCTCCACGAAACACATCGGGACAAGGAGCCTGAAATAGTCGATAGAAGCTTTGTCGGTAAGTTCAAGGGCATTATGGTGAAGAATCACCTACCACATGGACCCATTCAGGTTGTGGTAAAGTCGAACCGTGATCGAATTTGTACGGCGACATTTGCATCGTTGTCGTCACGTGTCCGTGGTAGGCACTAAATAGGTAGATTTTGCAGGGTTG